GAAACCTGAGAGTGGACGCTCGAAGCAACAGCTCCCTCACCCTGCACTGGGAGGTCCCCCAGGGCCCGGACCCCCAGAGCCTCACCTACTGGGTCCAGTGCACTGGAGATGGTGGCAGAAACAAGACCCAAACCACGACAGACACCAGCGTCACAGTGCACGAACTTGAGGCAGCGTCCTGGTACACCCTCTCAGTGTGGGCCGAGAAGGACGGAGCGTCTGGCTCCCAGGTGACCCTCAGTACTGCCACAGGTGAGAGGAAGGTGCTTTAATCATTTCTTTGTTACAGGGAGGTGGAAGGATGGTTGGGAACTGGCAAGAGGAGGGGAGCCCGTAGAATGACAAGGCCACACAGGCAGTGAGTGGTGCACGTGGTTGTGACCCCAGGGGTTTAGGAGGCTGAGGCAGGAGGATGGCAAGTTCAAGACCAGCCTCGAGCCAGTGGCAGAAACAAGATCCAAAACACAAGAGACTCTGGGTCTGTGTATGCATTTGGGTTGTGGGTGGAGAAGAAGCGGGTTAGTAGCTCCCCAGAGACTAACTGCTGCCAGCAAGAGTGCATCAGTGTCCTTCCCTGTGCTGAGAGAGGTGGTGTGTGATGGTCTTGGAGTGACAGCAGACTATGGGGGCTGCCTGGAACACACTGCATTGGGGCCCTTGTGAGCCAGATATCAGTGAGCATCACATCCAGGGGTGTTCCAGTCTCAGGTGATGAAAAAAGATTGCCCATAGCGCCTTCCGCTTCCGACAGGAGTTGGTCAAGGTCTAAGGCTCCCGAAGGCCGTCCCAAACACCAGGGTGTGTATCTTCCTGCACCCACCAGGATGTGAGGGGCCAAGGCCTGCCACCTGAGCTCTGTGGGCCTTACATACTGCCAGCCGGATCACTCCATTCCTTCCAATTGTGTCACACATGGAGGATGGACATTCAGATTATCAGGGACATCAGCTTGATGTGGACAGCTCCCACTCTGTAGATCTACATTGTCCCATAGCGTAGCTACTGGCTGTCGTGGCTACCTACACGTAATTAAGTTGCATAAAGTTACCGATTCAGCCCTGGTGAAGGGCTCCCAGGAATCCCTTCATCTTCCACCAGTGTGCCTACCTTGATGGACACTCGGAAACATCCTCTGTGCCTCTTTAGGGGCACCGATTCTCCACATGAAGAACAGCCTTAGGAACTGTTCACCTCCCGGAGGCCCCACCTCTTGTGAGTGTCATGTGGAGGATTAGGTTTCAACATATGAATTTCAGGGGAGCACAGCTGTTGTGGTCACAGTACTAGTTAGATGGTGGTCCATGTGTTGGCAGTTCAGTATCCACAGAGTTGGCTGGAAATGCAGAATCTGTCTCCTGCTAGATCTGATTCAGAAATTGCATTGTAGCAATCCCTCAGTGGTGTATGTACTCGAAAGTTCTAGAAGCTCTGGTCGAGACCACACCCCCTTATCTACCAGGACAAGCAATTAATGCAGAACTGGGCACTTGGGGGTCAAGAGTGCCTCTGACGGCCACTCTGTACTCTATACCCCTACTTAATTTGGACTCTTCCTAATTTTTTAGCCCCTAACCCAATTCGAAGCCTGTCTTTGGAGGGTCAGACCAACAGCTCTGTCACCCTGAGCTGGGAGGCCCCCAGTGGCCCCGAGCTTCAGGACTATACGTACTGGGTGCAGTGCACTGGAGATAGTGACAAGAATGAGACCCGAAACACGACAAGCACCAGTGTCACGGCTGAGGCCCTGGAACCTGGAACCTTGTACCAGTTCTCCGTGTGGGCCGAAAAGAATGGAGTACCCAGCTCCAGGCAGAATGTCAGGATCGCCACAGGTGAGGACCCCCACCACCCACTCCCTGTTCTGGTGAGCGATGGGGAACTGGCAAAGACGGCTCCTCCTCTGGGCCTGGGCTCCAGCTCTTTGATCCCTGGCCTCCTTGGCCCCACGGAGCCAGGACTATGGGAGAGACGTGGCCACACCTGGGGAATGGCTCTGTCCTAAAGAAGAGGAGCACTTGTATAGCTGTCCCCTGCCACTGGGTGCCGGGCTTCAGGAGCCCAGGCCACTGCAGGCTCCATGGCTAAGCGTCCCTTGACCAGCTGAGCTGCACAGGCTTGGGCATGAGTGGGCTCTGCGCCCCCCAGGACTAAGACTGTGGAAGTCCTGACTCTGTGCTCCTCCCACCAGTCCCTAATGCTGTGGCAAGTCTCGAAAAACAGAATCAGACCAACAACTCCATCACCTTGAGCTGGACAGCTCCTGTGGGCCCCACTCATCCCCTGTACACCTACTGCGTCTCATGGGTCAAGACGGGCAGTACCACTGCGTCCCGCAACACCTCCCATACCAGAATCACACTGACTGCGCTGGAAGCTGGGAGCCTGTACAACATCACCGTCTGGGCTGAGAGGAATGAAGTCAGAGGTTATGCCAGTACCCTCATGGAGGCCACTGGTGAGACAGGGTCCAGTTCTGGTCCCAGCCTGACTGCCATGGGGGATGGGAAATCACGGGGGGACTGGAGAGCTTCTGGAGGTAATGAGAGCTCCCCAGCTACGCAGTCTCTCGGCAGCGTGGACTTATAGGGCCATTCTAGGAGTCCAGCAACCAGGGGTTTGAAGCCATGGAGCCTGTCTTTCCTGCCTTTGGGAAATAAGCTCTTTTGGATGGGGGGAGCCAGTACCACCTCCTGGGAACCAAGAGTCATCAGCTGGACTATAGCCAGCAGATGGTTCCGGTGAATTTGATGAACAAAAGGGCTCTCAGCTTGCACATGGAGACTCTCAAGTCAGAAGAATCAAAATTACTGACTCCAAAGACTGGGTTCATTGTTGATGGATGGAATCTGGGAGCATTAAACCGTGGGTTGGCCCTTTGAGCTAACAAAACTAAAGTTGGCAGCTCCCACTAGCAACCTGATATGTCCAGGAGTGAGAGGTTTAGATTTTGTGAGCTGAGGTGAGTGGACCTCAAATCCCATCATGCCGTGGGGTCAAGACTTCATAAACTACAGTGATAGAGTCCAAGGGCTCATGGGAGTTGTAGTTTTAAGGGACGTGTTTTCCTTTGGGGAGAAGAAAAAGGGATGGAGAAGACGCAGGGGTGTAACCAGGGGACAGCAAGAGCTCAGATGATGCGGGTCCTCACCAGGCCACAAGTTTCTGAGTTCTTTTCGTGGTCTCTAGAGCCACGGATAACTGGGGCAGCTCAGCTTTGCTATGAGCAGGAGGCAAGCAGATTCAGGGATTCAGGGAGAAGGTTCTTTGAGGATACACCCACTTGAGGCTCCGACCTCACTTCTCAGCTTCAAATGAGGTCCTACATCTGAAGAATGCAAGTCAGACCAGCAACTCAGAGACCCTGAGGTGGCAGGCCCCCGCAGACCCTCCTTCTGGGCTCTACACATACTGGGTGCAGTGGGCTAGGGAGGAGCATTCCCGAGGATCCCGAGGATCCCGCCCGAGGATTCCCGAGGATCCCGCCCGAGACTAGGCCAAATCAATGGGCAGGACAATGAGACTTGGTGTGAGGGGGCAGCCCTCAAGCCTGGTATTCTGTTCAACTTCAGTGCGTAGGAGAGGGAGAATATACCAGCTCCACACACAGCCTCTGGGCACACAGGTGACTTGCCCTGCCCACCCTCACTGTGGAGAGGGCAAGGGCCAGGAGAGGAGCGTGGACTACAGGTCCTTTAGGCCCTGGTGTCATGTCTTTCTAAAGCTGCAGTGACACCAAGTCCAGGGTTTGGGGTTTAGTTTGAGGGGACTCAAGTCCATTTGGGGAGAATAGAAACTGAGGGGAGATGAGGCATTCGAGCCTGTGGCTAGTTCTGGGGACAGGTATGACTGGTGGGGTGGCTTGGAAGGCATGTCGGGTGGCCCCCACTGACTCCTCTCCTTCCCTTCACCAGCCCCAGACCCTGTCACCATCACCTCCTGCGTCAGCACCTCTGGGGGGTATGGGGTCATCCTGACCTGGTCCTGCCCCTCCGGGGGCTATGAGGCCTTTGAATGGGAGGTGGGCGGGCAGCGTGGCTCCCAGGATGGATCTTCATGTGGCAAGGACGTGTCTGTGCTCGGTCTTGGGCCGGCTCAGTCCTACCGGGCCACCGTCACAACTATCTCAAATGGAATGAGGGCATCGTCTGTCCCCAAGACCTGCAGCACCGAGAGTGCAGGTGAGTGGGAGTGGGGTGGCTTCCGGGCCCTGCTGTGAGGGTACACACAGGGCTCTTTGGTTTGTCTGTTTGTCTTTTGCTTCCTGGTTTCTCTAAAAGAGCTTTACTGAGATATTATTCACAGAACACACAGTTCTCCCAGTACGAGGCAATTCAGTGGCTTTCAGTGCATTGGTGACATCGTGCAAACATCATGCCTTCATCCCCGAACACTGCCATGCCCTGAGGAAGACGCTCTGTCCCCTTAGCCATCACCTCCTAGATCCCCGTTCTCAACCACTGAGCCCTAGACAGCCTCTAACTTCTATCTCCATAGATCTCCATCTCCAGTATGTTTCCTATCTCTATAGATTTGCTTCCCTGGATGTTTTATAAAAACAAAATCATCCATTACGTGATCCTTGGGACCTCCACTGAGCATAATGTGTTTGAGGGTCATTTGTGCATGAGCATGCATCAGTACTATCTTTTTATTGCAGAATAATACTCGTGGATGTATATACCATGTTGTTTTATTCATTCATCAGCTGATGGATCCTTTGTGCCATTTATACCTTTTGGCCTCTGTGATCAGTATTGCTATGACATTTGTGTACAGGTTTTTGTGTGGACATGTTTTTATTTTTGTTGGGTATATGCCCAGGAGTGGAATTGGTGGGTCATATGGCAACTGTGTTTTTTTGTTTTATTTTGTTCTTTGTGGTACTGGGGATAAAACTCGGTGAACACTTAACACCGAGCCACATCCTTAGCCCTTTTTATTTTTTATTTTGAGACAGGGTCTTGCTAAGTCACCAAGGCTGGTCTCAAACTTGCGATCCTCCTGCCTCAGCCTCCCAAGTTGCTATGATTACAGGCGTGTGCTGCCACCCTGGTGTGGTACTCTATATTTAACTTTCGCATTTTTACCCAAAGTGACTGCACCATTTTACATTTAGCAATGATGCTTGAAGACGTTTGCAGCTTAGACTTTGAAAAGTCTGATCACGTGTCATAACTGTGGCTGTAGACCTCGCTTTGCCCTGTTCATCCCTTCCTGGAGTCAGGGTATCTTCTAACAGTGGGCCTCCAGTCTGGAGAGAGAGTGACATGATGATACATGGAT